AGAAGAATAAATGTTGAACAAATACAAAAATATAATAATGGGAATAAAAGAATAATAAATGAAAAAAAGGAGAGAGAGAGAGAGAGAGGGGAGAGAGAGAGAGAGAGAGGGAAGCGCGACTAAATGCGTAAGCAAATATGCGAGAAGAATAAACGATATGCAGTACGTAGTAAGCGAGCGATTAGAGAGATACAGAGAAAAACAGAGTAAACGTATGATCGAGAGAAAGAAGATATTAGAAATTGCGATAATGTTAGTGCGTACATGTATATTACTCTCTCACGCATGAATTAAAGTTTGGTAATTTATCACTTAATTATTGTATATAAAGCAGTAAAAATATATTGTAATATTGTCTTATTTCAATATATGGAACACAATGCAAAAGATTGCGTTTTCTATTATGCATGTTTGAAATAATTATATTGGTAATGGCGGAACTAGAAATGTCGGTATTATCGACCTTTTTAGTTACGTTTAGATGAGGGTGCTAACCCGTCGGAGTTCGCCCGTCGGTTTAGGATCCCCTTAAGACTATGGAGAGAAGAGAGAGAGAGAGGAAGGAAAGAAGAGGGTAAAAGCTCAACAGCGACGACAGAGGAGGAGAGCAAAGAAAAGCAGGAAGAGGAGAAAAGGGAGAATAAGGGACCGAACAAAGGAAAGAGAGAAGAGGTAGAAGGAGTAAGGAAGGCGACAAAGGAGGATAGCGTGGAGGAAAAGGAAGAGGGGAGAGAGGAAATAAAGGAGAAAGGCAGAGAAAGGAGAAAAGAGGAAGAATAGAGACAGGAGAGGAAAGGAAAAGGAGATAAGGAGGAAACAGGAGGTAGTGAGGAGGGCGAGAGAGAGAAGAAGACAAGAAAGAGAAGGAGGGAGAAAGTAAAAGCCTGGTGGAACACGGAGGAAGATAGCGAGACGGATAGAGACGAGAGAAAGAAAGAGAGGAGAAGCATGGACGAGAGAAAGGAAAAGGGGGAAGGAGGAAAAAGGACAAGAGACAAGGGAGCTGAGGAGAAAAGGGAAAAAAGAAAGCCAGATACGAGAGGAAGCGGAGGGAAAAAAGGAAAAAGAGAAAGTAGGGGTGGAAGAGTGGAGTAAGGTGAAGAAGGAAAGAAGGAGGAAGGATGAGATGGCGACCAGGAGGGAAGAGAGGGGCATAGAAGAGGGAAGAAGAGAAGAAAGGGAGACAAGGAGAGGGACGAGGAAGGGGTAAGGAAAAGGAAGATGAGAGGAGAGGAAGAGCTAAGGAAGTCAACAGAGGTCTGGAGAAAAGGCAGGAAGGTAGAGAGAGAAGGGAGAGTGAGGAGCGAGAGAGAAGAAGGAGAAGGAGAAGAAATATAGTATGGAGAGGAGTAAAAGGAAAAGAGCCGGAGGAGAGAAGGAAGGAAGTCGAGGGCATGACGGAGGAAATACTAGGAAGAAGGGCCAAGATAAGGGGGTGGAGGAGAGAGTAGGAGAGGGAGGGAGAAAGGTTTTGATTGTGGAAATGGAGGATGAAGGAGAAAGAGAGAAACTATTAAGGAAAGAACATGAGATTAGGAGAGTGTTGGAGGATGAAGGGGAAAGAGCATGAGATTAGGAGAGCGTGGGGAATAGGAGTGGATGAGGATTTGACGATGGAAGAGAGGAAGATGAGGTGGAGATTGTTAGAGAAAGCAAAGGAAGAAAGAAGGAAGGGAAGGAGTGCGGTAGTGAGCAATAGGAGGACCTGGGTAGATGGGAAGGAATGGAAGTGGGATGAGGAGAGGAAGGTATGGTGGGAGAAGAGAGGAGGGTAAAATTAAGCGGGGTAGAAGGGAGGAGTAAAGTCGAGGAGAGAAATGAAGAGATTGTAGAGTATGTAGAAGATTCTATGGAAAATTGTAACCCCTTTGGGAAATCAATAAAAAATATTATTATTACTTAGTTTTTGATAATCTTACCGTAATTCTTAAGAAATTTATGATGACCTTCACGTGACCTTGACAACGCTATTTAAGATCGTACTAATATTAGTATGTACTGCGTTACTTGAAATTCTACAACTTTTGTCTGAAATATTTTTGTCTGTCGTTCTCGGTTTTCGAGATATTCGGCTGGCACGGGTGGTATGATACACCCTGTATATGTATATTAACTTAAATATTGTTTATTTCAAAGATATAAAAGTAAGGCTCTTACAACTTAAAATCAAGTAAACTCCGAATAAAAAGGCAAAAGAGCCACGCGCAGTTTTTTGGGCGCAAAGGTATATAATTTAAACCAAAAAATAAATTAAAAAATTAGAGAATTTAAATTCTCTAATTTTTTAATTTATTTTTTGGTTTAAATTATATACCTTTGCGCCCAAAAAACTGCGCGTGGCTCTTTTGCCTTTTTATTCGGAGTTTACTTGTTTATTTCATTTAGATGATCGAAGAGGCCGAGGTCGCGGGAATTCGCGGGCCCGCTGGTTCCAACGCCATGGGTGTTATTTTAATAAAGGCCGAGGCCAAAGCGGAAGAGGAAGAGGTGGAAGATCTAGGGGCCCTATAGTAATTAAAAATTATTATTTGTCCTAAAAAATATAATTTTTTGTTTTTTAATATTTAATCGTTTCGTAATATTTATAAGTATAATCTATTCGATATTTTTAAATCTCTCAAAAATGCTTTTTTTAAGTTCCTGCAAAACTCTTTGTTATTATTTATATGTTGCTGTTACAATATTTTTTAGCATCAAATAAACGGGTAAAAATCACATTTTAAATGCTCAAGAGAATTTATGATGCAAATGCAGCAAATAAAATGGTAAATATAGCGAATAGGGGACCCAGCCCCAATGACCTTGACTTTGACATATGTAATCAAGGACATAATTGTGAGTAACTTTTTCTTCTAATTTAATCGTCGCTCGTTGCTTATTAAAAAGATATTAACAAACAAAAATTTGTAAAAATCAAGATTTATACATAGTCTGACAATGAAAAACTGGATATTTAAGTTAGCTTACAGAAATAGTCCTACGTATATTACATATATAAACTGAAATAAACACAAGTGTTTACATATATAGGATGTTCAAAAATAAAATAGGTCAAGGTCATTAGGGCTGGGTCCCCTATTCGCTATATTTACCAATAAAATATACCTTATTTGAATAAATACTATAAAATTTTCAAAAAAAACAGTGCAAGTTTTTAAGTGTTACGTCCAGACTCGGGGAAGGATGAGTCGACGGAAGGGCGCAACAACTATCTCTTATTATTCCGAAGTTAAACGTCTCGTGGCGTTTGGAATCGGGTCGAACGAACTGACAGGTCTGAAAAGCAGGTAAACGAGTGAATCGCTATTACGCTGGTTATTCAAACGTTCGTTCGGTGGTCCCTTTTCGGTAAGAGAATTTAATCTCTTTTACGGGGAATGGGACCAAGTAAGATCTTTCGACTAGGAATGAGTGGGGGTTCAATAAAGAGTAATTCTTTTATTTAAATTATAACAAAGTATGAATTTATTCATATTTTAAAAATAAATGATAGATGTACATGATTATGTGTGTGTGTGTGTGTGTGTGTGTGCGTGCGTGCGCGTGCGTGTGCGTGCGCGTGCGCGTGCGTGTGCGTGTGCGTGCGTGCGTGCGCGCGCGTGTGTGTGTGTGTGTGTGTGTGAATGAGGTAGGAAGTAAGGATCATAGAGAGAGAGAGTGAAAGGATATTTAATGTAGTTTAATTTAATCCCGGTAGGACGAATCTGATTCTAAATCAGGTAGTTCTTTGCAGAACTCCTCTACAGCTTTTTCGAAATCGTCTGATTCCGAAAATTGCGGAGAAGAAAGGGGTGAATTATTCAGGAGGATTATAGATAATGACGAGAATGATCTCGAGGAGGAAGGCGGTTCAGGAGAAAGGGGTTCGGGGGAATATACTGGGGAGTAGTTTGGAGAAAAATGGTAAGAGGGAAGGAGGAAGGTTGTAACTTTGCTGGGTTGTGAGCTTGTGTGCGTGTGTAGTGAGTCAATCTTACTCCTAAATTTTTTTAATTTAACGGTAAGATTCGCGAACTCTCGCGTTAACCTTCCGAGTCCTGCGATGGACTTGATTCATGGGCCGATATATGTATATATTTTGCCCGATCTGGTTCTCACTACGGAACCAGTGTAAATAATAAGGTTTCAGTCGCGTATATACTTAATAATTGAATAGTTGAAACTTACTTTTTGCTGTTAATTCGATAATGAAGAAGCGGCGATTTTTCCTCGGCTCTAGGTTTCGTGGTGCGTTCGGACCTTCGGTTGATGAATGCAAAATGGTGGTGAGACGCCGCTAGAAGACACTGGTTTTCTCAACTAACTCGCGAGTCACAACACAGAGCAAGAGTAATTGAAAGTTGCAGAAATAAGAGAGTGATGTGTTTGCGAGTTCTCTTTTTATAATCTTCTTTTTGGGGCGTATTCTAATTCTAAGAGTGGTAATCTTCCAAAACTTCAACGAATTGAATTTGTGCAGAAGTGGGGATTTTTCAATTTTAGCAAATTAAAAATGTGCCAGTGTCTTCGTTAGGCGGGGTGTTTCTCCTACTTTTCACGTTTTACCCGTGGTGATCGTCCATTGGTGAGCTCGATGTTCGTTCGAAGATTCCTTGCACGTGATCAGATTAGAAAAAGATCCTATTTTCCTATAATTATTTTTATTGCTATTGGTGCAGCTGTGTTTATTGAATATTTGTTGGAAAATTTTTATTATTATAGATGCAGCTGTGTTTGTTGGGTATTTCGTTAGAAAAGTTTATATTGTTATTGATGCAGCTGTGTTTGTTGGGTATTTCATTAGAAAATTTTATATTATCTTGAGGAAACTGGCATGGTTTCATCACTGATCTTTTACGTTGGTCTGTTTACTGAGCGATTCGTTTGTTTCACCAATCGACGATCATTGCCGACACTTCGCGGAAGGAAGGAATCGTGGAATCGCCAGGACGTAACATAAGTTAACATTATCAACATATACTTCAGCTTTTTTTGAGTGTATTTAAAATCGATTTTTGTAGGATCCTTCATCTGGAGTAAGCACAAACGTTGCACTTTCAATGTTTATAGTTGAAAAAGGCAAACGATATAGATTTCGCATGATTAATGCATGCAGTACAGTTTGTTTGATTGAAGTAAAAATTGAAAAGCATCCCGTGCAGATAATAGCCACAGATGGTGAAAATGTGAAGCCAGTACAAGGGATAGATGCAATTACTATGGCTTCAGGTAATTTACTTGACATATATGTATATAAATAATGTATTATATATATATGCGGATATTAATTCGTATTATTTTAATTGAGAAATTTAATCTAAAAGTTATTTATGTGCAATTGATTTCCTATGTTACAAGATCTTTTTATTTTATCTGTTCGAAATTAGCTCCCCACTTTTAGAATTAACTAATTTCGAAAGTAGTGCTGAATTGTACTAAGTTTGTGTTACATTGTGTTTGAATATTAAAAAATAATATAAAAAATGCGGTAAAAAACAGAAAAAGAAGGTTTTTTTATTTCAGCCCCCAGTTTTAATTTTTTTCAATTTTTTCAATTGTACTAAAATGTGCTAACAATAAGTTGTGCCAACAATGTGCTAAAATATTACTTTAAAAAATAGTAAGGAAAGAAATTATGATAAAAAATAATTTTGGACAATATTATATACAACTAACGTTTATGTTTGTATCCAAATGGCATATAATTGCATATCTGAGTTGTGCTAACCTAGCACAAGTGAGTACAATTGTCGATTTTTTCAGAATAGTGATATTAAGATTTACACTTTACTCTTAAGCGCGGCCATTCGCGCTCGGATTCTATGTCGATATCCCATTCGATTTTGTAATTATCCGATAAAGACAGTATTGCATATCTGAGCTGTAAAACTGTAAATTTTTAACTTTTTTCCGTTTTTTACATGAAATCACCACTTCCCAACTTCGTGATTATGTGTACTTTAACTCTCCGACTGAATACGTGGATCATTGGCGTTCGAGCCAAAATAACATTTACTTTTGTCGTAACCAGACCCAATTTCCCAATAGTAAAATATATAACAGTAAAGTAGCACAGAAAAGATTAAGAAAGAGCTGAGTAAAGCAAAGCATTAAAATTAGGAAAAGAGTCCAGGGAAAAGTAATTGAGAAATAATAAAGTAATAAAAGATTGTTAATAAAATAAAAGTAAAAGACGTGACTCTAAAGAGAAGGATGTCACGGCCAAGTTCTCGGAAGCTGAGTAAGCAGCTGACGAGACAGACTGACAAGCGGAGCACGAGACATGCTCCGGCCAGAGCCACCACACTCCTCCTTAATCAACTAATTAATTAATATACAATATTGAGCGCGAGATGCATCGACACTTGCTCATTAACATCACTCGCACGCTCGCTCAATCGCATCTTCGAAAGTACTATACATATCGCGCCCGATCCTTATAACCGCGAATAGGTGAACAGTGTACAAAATTTTGTGAAATATACCAATTTATACCCAACGTCCGGGAGTGTCTTATTTCGAACGTGGATCCTAATCCTTTGGGCGTACAAATCCAAAAAAAAACCTCTTTCTTAGCGGCTAGAGGCACAACACTTTTATCAGCAAAATATAGCTAAATATATTCAAATTTATATATAATTTTATCTTTAACGCTGATCTATTGATTTTTGCTACTAAAAAAAAGTTGTCCATTTTAACCCTCCTGAATAATTCAACTTCTTTGCGGATATCGATCAGCACTATTTTGTTTCTTGAACATTGAGCTTTAAAATGAAAAATCTTAAAAGAATTTTTTTCTTTTCCGTATAGAAAAAAAGTTACATATTTTTAAAGAAACCCACCTCTTTCTTTCAAAAGAAGAAGTTTGTATTCAAAATTCATTAAAAATAAAATATTCAGTAAATAATTTTTATCAAAATGATTATGAAATCATCAACTACAATAGTAGACAGATGTTTCATGAATTTTTTCAGATTTTCTTAAATTTTTTAAAATAAGGAAAATAGCGTCGAACGCAAAAGACTCATGTATTCACTAGAAAGGTGCCAAAAAACCGTATTCAGTCGGAGGGTTAATTTTGGAAAAGGATTTATCAATCTGTATAATCAACAAAAAGATTTTCCCTTTCAACTTATTTAATTATTATTTAATATTCGCATATTATAATTCAATTATTAATTAATAATCGCATTTTGTCGATAAAACAGACAAAATTTTTTCGCGAAAGTTATAACCGAAAGCATAACATGTTAAAATGTGCCTATATATGCGAGCATACGTTATGAGCGCAACTAATATCGGATTCTACGAAAGAATATCTCACATATCTTAATTTCACACAGCTACTGCTTCACTAGTCTAGTTTCACACAAAAGAAATTATCCTTCAACACTACATCCTTCGAGATAATGTTATTAGATATTTCCCCGATTAGTATTACTAGACACATTTCGAAAAGGAAAAGATTGATGACTAATCGCTGCTGAAAGAAAATCCATCATGAAGCAACACACCATTCTTGTTCCGTGTATTATTATTGTCACATTTTTGATATAATATATTCCATATACTTTGTAATTGCGCTGAGGATGGTCCAAAAAAAGGGACCGAAACGTACGCTTTTTGTGATTTTGTCTATCACGTAGTCAAAATATCAATGTAATTTGATTGTAATAAAACATATGCGCACAAATTACCGCGCTGGCTCTTGATTGCCTTTCATTTTCTTCGTATCAATAATAAAAGATAAATAATTAAATAAAGAAAATAAATAAATGAAGGTCGATACTAAAAGACAACATACTAAGGAATCACATGTTAAAATTATACAGCTAAAAGTAAGTTCATCACAATTACGGATTAATATAGTAAGATTTTGTCGGACAATGAGTAAGTACAAAAAGAATTCAGCCGTCTTTTAACGTATTGAATAAGACAAGGCTTATAGAAAGAATGAAATAAGGGAATAAAGGAGATAAGGAGTGAAGGGAGTGGAAAGAAAAGGAAAGGGAAAACTGATGGCTACACATACACACAGAAAATACAGAAGAGTAATAAACAATGAGTCGACCGGTAAAAGATTTAAATCCGGGAATTTTTTAAGGACGGCTGCATAACAATCTTTAAGAAGCTCCATTTCACTCTGCAAATGCAACCCATCAGATTAATGTTATAGCTTAATGTGGATTATCTCTGAAATCTCACGACGGTAGCAATAAGGTTCTTCATCCAAAATAGGAACATTATTCCAGTCAAAATGGTAATTAAAATTAATATGATTGTCTGTAATGACTGAATGCCGGACGCTATTGCATCTGATATGGCTGCGATGTTCTGAAATTCTAATTTTTAATTGCCTGCTCATCTGGCTTATATACGATGCATCGCAATCATGGCAGTTGATTCTATAAATAACATGATGACACTTGCAAGATAGGAGAAGGTCCTTGTGTGCTCGGATAACTTCTTATTAAGTTTATTAAGACTAAAAAACGATAAGCATTTATTGTATAAATGAGTAGCAGACTTAAATTTACTGGAAACACTGACATAACCAAAACAGTAAAAAAGGAGATGAAAGATGGAGGAGTCTCAACGTCTGTCGTTTTCATTCCTTTGGTACGTTTCGAGTTTATCAAAATTTTAATCCATGATTTTATTGTTATAAAAATAAAAATAAGGGGGTAACCATTCTCTAATAGAATATCGTTCAATATCTCAAAATTTCTTTGATACCGCGGATGTAAAAGTAAGAAAGCACGATCAATTAAATTGATAATAATGCTTCTTTTCTGTGTAAGAGGATGTTAAGAAAAGAAATTTAAAAATATGTCAAAACGGCCATTGGGTAAAATAATTGTCACATAGTCAATGATGGGTAAGATACTGTTGCATCCGCGGATCGAAATCGATATTACTCGAACACGCGCGACACAACCGGCACTCGCGTACCGCGACGTAAATAATTAACACTCTTTTAAAAAAACAAAAGGAACTTTAATAATAACACAGAACACAATTAAACAAGGAACACAGAACGGGTAATAACGGTAATTGTAATCTCAAATACGTCCGCCCGGAATAGCATCCGTCGCGAGACTCCAAGATGGCCGATCTCTCTCAAGATGTCCGCCGTTGTTTAACAACAACCCTTAGCAACGTAATTGGGGATGTTCTCCCGGAGACGGGTACAGCAGATTCAGGAATAACCGCCACAGACGACTCGCAGGGACGCAACACTACTCCCCTTCTTCAAGATTGTCGTCCCGACAATCAATGGTAGAAGGGCTCTTCTAAATTGAATGGGTTGACCGTTGTCTTCTTCTTCCAAGGCGCTGACTCCAAGGTGCCTTAATGACTTCCTGCTCTACCCTGAGCTGCTGCTACAGGTCACCGAGCGCCATTATTTGCCGGCCCCAATCACACACCTTCCAGGAATATACAGGATACTGCCATCGAACCCGCTTCATTGACAAGAATATCCAATGTCCAATGTCGACTCCAGGGTACCAAAACGGTTTCCTGCTCTATCCTGAGCTGCTGCTGCAGGTTACCAAGCACCGTCAATATCCAGAACCCAATCGACTTCGATAAATCTTGAAATTGCAGTAACTGTCTCCCGTTCTTCGCCTTCTTTTCGGAAATATCCAATGCTGCCGCATCTCCGCATTTCAAAATAAGGAAGCAAATCTTCGGACAAGAGAGGGGTATCTACCGTGGACCCGACATCCTTATATGAGGACTCTTCAAGCCCCTGCCTC